AAGGAAGACTTCAGAAGGGGTGCAGATGTTCTGCTTTTTAAGTTGGGTGATGAAAATATGTATATTTATTTTTCTTTAACTTATTTATGTATTCTTTTGTTTACACGATATGTTTTGTGGTTTTAAAACCTAAACGAGGTGAGTATTCGAGGCAAAAAGCCTAAACCTGTCATTTAAACAAAAACCAAGAGCCAGGCATAGTGGCATATGCCTCTAATTACAGTTTTCTGGGTGGCAGAGTCAGGAGAATTGCAAGTTTGAGCACAGCCTGTGCAGTTTGGCAACTTTTGAGGTCCTATCTTAAAATTTAAAAAAGAGGGTAGGGATGTAGTTCAGTGCGAAAAGCCTGAGTTCAGTTCCTAGTACTGCATACACATACACCCCAAATCAAATTAACCAAAAACAAAGAACAAGATAGTCTTGTTGCAGCAGCTCTCGGTGCTGTGGCATTTCCCAGGTAGTTGTGTGCATCTCACCCAGAAATATTGGGCCCAGTGTGGTTTCCAAGGGAGCAGTCTGGCTGCATTTCTGGTACCTGTGGGACTTCTCTTTGGAAACAGACATCTTAATTCGCTCAGATAAAGTGATGCAAAGTTGTAAGGACAAATCTGGCAGTTTCTGCAGGTGCTACCTCCATTCCAAGAGAGAGAGAGACCTCCAGACTCTTGCCTGCAGAGGGAGCATAAAGAGAGGTCCGGAAGGAAAAGGGGTTGCTAGCTGACATCACAGACATGGAGAGGTCTGTTCTCAGAGGAGGCCTCCTGCAGTGGAAATGAACCAGTGGCTCTGTCAGGCCTGGCTTTAAGCAAGCAGCTTGGCAGCCACTGTCCACAGAGGTGTCTGGCAGGGCTGAGGTGGTAGGAAGGAGAGCTAAGAAGCTGCCTGGTTTGAAAGCTTAGCTGTCCTTTGGCCATGATTGTTCTTGGAGCTCAGGTCACCTTCCTGTTCTGCCCGAAGGAGAAAAGATGAAAACCATCATGTGGATTGGTGGTGTTTTGTGTGTTTGTTTTTCATCTGGAGCCACTTCATTTGTTTACCTGGTGAATGCACTTTTTTTTCTTAGGCAAAAATATGAGTGTCAGTTTCCAATCCCCAACTTGAAAATCAAAATAGAGCAATAGTCTTAGCAAGGGTGCCTAGAGAGAGGGCTCCAAGCGTGTACACAACTGACATTGATTTCTTTGCCTGAAAATTGAAAAAAAAAAAAAAGTGTCTGTGAGTCATCTTTAGATTTGCATTACAAACAATGCAAATGGGTGCTGCTCTATCTGCATAGCTTACAGATATCAAAAATTTGCTTTGATTTGATGCATTTTGAGACAAATACGCAGCTAACTAAAAATCCTAAAATTTTCTGGTTAAGTATTCAGAGTTGGAGTTTTTGCTTGTGTTGATGACTCATTTTCTCTTTTGTTTTCTGTTTCTGTTATTTATCTTAACCTACCTGCTGACTCACGCCACACAACCAACATACAATGCGAAAACCCATGTCTCCGTCTGTATGTTGTGCGCCTACTGCTCAAACCATCCTAATTTATAAATAATACGCAAATACCCATCCATGAAAACATCACATATAGGAAACGGTTGGTTTCGTAACTTTAAACGGTTCTTATTGATCCTTCCTCTGCCTGCTCTGCTCTCCTCTCATTTCCATGGTTCCTGCCATTGCCCTTTGAGACGTGGATGGATTCTGCTGCACTCACCTCTGGCCTCTCATGTGCTCTCCCCAGGCCCTGGCTTCCAGCAGGGACTTCTGAGGGCCTTCCAGGAGCTGTCTGAATCTAGGACCAGTGCAGGGAAAGGAGGTGGGAGATTCTGGGGTCTGGGTGAGGACTCAGGACAGATTTTCTTGCTGAGCCCGGATCCCTGAAATTCTGTGGTTTCTGCTGCACACTATATCTCCTCTGCTGGCCTCATCTTGCCAACACAAAAAGAAGGTTCAGCTTTGCCCAGTTGGCCTCTATGAAGTCCCCTGTAGCAGCTGTCCTTCCTGAACAAGTTGTCCTACCGTGGTCAGGCCTGGGGCACAGGGTTGGAGGTTTGGACTCCATGATTCAGAATAGTCATAAAGGGCCCAAGTAGAAGCAGGAGGCCATGCCCTAGTAGACAGCACTGCATGGCTTCCAGCCATGTGTGACTGACCTACAGTGTGCATTTGCAACTGGTGCCTCCTGCAAGGTCGTGGAGAATTTTGAGGAGAGAGTAAGGGTATTTGGTGCAACTCAGCTTCAGCTGTGGCTATGGAAATTCATCTAAAGAAGCGGATATTTGAGACTCCTTTTATAGAGGCTCAAGGTTTGTATAGCTGGCTTTTATAGCTGGAGTGGAAATCTTGACTTTTGAGAGAACAGCATTGGATGCTGCAGAAGTGTCCAGACCATCAGCTCAGGCTGGGCAACTGCCACCTCCTGTGAGGGCTCTTCTTGCCTGCCTTTCCCTCTCCTGCTAGCACGCATGGCCATCAGGTGTGTGACAGATGCTTGTATGCACACTTTCTTTTTTATCCATCAGTCCCCATTAAAGTGAAGGCAAGAAAACAGCTTATTTACAACTGCAGGACCTCCTCCAACATGGTGCATGGCTGGCAGTGTCCACGGGTCTGGGTTGAGTGCCCAGGTAATACTCAGGAGCCAGTCCTCATGCCCTCGTGAATGGCTAGAGGCCATGGTGGTCTTGGGCACTAGGTGCTGCTCCTGGCTGGGGCAACCTTTGTAGGGCAGGATCCTACAGAGCTTGGCACATGTTTGTTCTTGTCCTCCATTATCTCTTACTGCCTGAATGTGGATGTCCCTAGTGCCCAAGCACGACTTTGGATGAGGAGGCAGAGGCTAAAGGGTCAGGTGATGTCCCCTCAAAGTGAGTCTTCCTTACATAGAACCATGTCTAACCAAAAGTAAGGTGGCTCCGAGGACCAGGCTGACCTTGGACTGGGTGTAGCAGCTTCCTGTGCAGCAGAAACCACAGACCCTGGGAGGATGTGGCAGGTTGCATCCATCTCGAAGAGGTCACCCAAGGCCAGAGGTGATAGTTAGTGGTGCACAACCCCGTGCTTGCTGTACCCTGTCATCCTGCATGTAGTGGGCCTGGTGCTGCCAGCCCATCATTGTGTGTGGGCGTCTGGAGCTGTTGTCATCATCTGTCTCCACAGCACTCCTGGGTTGCATGTCTGTTGTGAGCCCTGCCCTTTCCTGAGTACTCAGTGGGAGAAGAGGGGAACAAAGGCTGTTATCTGTCCCCACTTGAGGTCCTTTGGATAAGCTATTATTCTTCACAACTCCTCACCTGCTCTGTCATCTTTTGTCCTTTCTTCACTCTGCAGGCCTTCATTTCCCCGAAATCTTCAGGAAATTTTGTCTGTGCCAGCTGCCCAGCTGCAGATGCCTTTGAGGTTGGCAGGTGCAGTGTTGTCACAGTCCTGCCCCTCAGACCCACCTGAGCATGTGCTTTCAAAATGGAGCTCTAAAGAGGCTGGACACAAAGAGCCTCTAAAGAGGCTCTACACGTGTCCCCCACTCAGCCATCTTGTACAGAGACTTCCTGACCCTGGACACAGTATTTTACGCCATGCCCATCTGCTGAGGCTGGGCACATTTGTGTGTCCTCGAGCCCTACAGTGGCCACTGGGCAGTCTTGGCCATCGTGTCTGTCCCTGAGATTCCCTTTCCTTGGCCTCTAAGGGAATATTCAGGTGCAGAAGTGCTCCTTCAAGGGTTGTGGCCCGAGGCTTGCCCCACCTTCTTGCTGACATGGACACTTGGACCTGTTGTGCCTCCTGATCCCTCTCGTACTGTTCAGAGTCAGTTCTATTTCCGGAGCTCCTGCATGGCACTTGGGTCCTTCTAGGTGGCTTGAGTCTCCCACTGCAGCAATAGTCCATAGACTGTGCCACCCTGGTGAGAAGCACAGAAACCTGCCTCTGAGCATAGAAGTGACGGGCAGAACAGAAATCTTAGAAGTCAGTGTGAGATCCCTCCCTCCACAGAATCCTCACTTGGCCAAGACAGGCAGCCCTGGAGTGTCTGTCCAGGCATCCTCCGCCCTTGTTGCATGTGCTCTTCTTCTACTGCTGTCTCATTCAACATCTGAGTTCTCTTTTCTCTTTATTTGGTCACTGAATGTGACAGCACAAACGTGTCTGAGCCTGAGCTGCTTGCATATTTTAAAACACCAAAATGGCAGGAACCTGCCCTCAGGCCATGTGCAGCTACCTGGTCTCTAGGCAGAAAGTGCCAGGCTCCACAGCCCTCCCCATACCCGCTCATATGGCTCCCCAGAGAGATATTCCCTTGAAAAAGCTTTGACAATAATTCTAGGTACCTGATGCTGGGGTAAGCCTTACTCCCAGGTAATCTTGGGATTCTGAGTTTATCAGTTCACCTCTGCTTGGTTCTGAGCAGTGCCAGACATGCGTTCTCTGGAGCAGAGACCTGTGGACTGAGGATCGCACTGGTAGCTTCCAGGGCAAAAGCTGCAGAGAGGCTGGACCTGCCCTTTCCCTTAGTTTCTGCAGATACTGGAGCAGCCCTGGAAGAGGTGGCTGGGGTCCCAGGCAGGCAGGGACTTCCCTGGCTGAGCCTGGAAGAGAAGGGTGTGATTGCCAGGCCAGGAGAGGGGAGTCCCTTCCAGGGTACCCACTTTTACCTGAACTGCTTGGCTCTGTCCCATGAGAGGTGGTCTCTGTTATAGGTCCCCAGTCCGTCTCCTCTCAGCCCCACTTGGCAGCAGAGAGTTGCTTCATGTCTGTTATGGTTGGAGGGCGGTCCTAGCCTAGAGAGAGTATTTGCTGCCCAGAAGTAATTCAATGACAAGCTTTTCTTTTGGAAGTTGTCCCCGCCCCCTGTGGCCGGTTGCTACTTAAAACTGAAGCAGTAGCTGTTTTGATTTCTTTCTAAGCACTTGCCCTTGAAGCCACAGGGGCTCAGGGAGAGCTCGTGGGGTGGAAGCAGCTAGCGTGGGGTGATTCCTGAAGGTCAGAGTGCAATCCTCCTTCTCTGCAGAACAACTTCATCAACCTTAGCTTCCTGCGCCTCTTCAGAGCTGCACGGCTCATTAAACTGCTCCGCCAGGGCTACACCATCCGTATCCTGCTGTGGACTTTCGTTCAGTCTTTCAAGGTGAAGTGTGGCAGCAGGGTGGGCAGGGTGGGCTAGCTCTCTGCAGGTGATTTCTGTCCCTCTGCCTTTTTTAACTCCCCTGCATCCCCAGCAGTCCTGTCCTTTGTCATGCTGCATAGGGGTAGGGCACATACTTGTCTTCATTGGCATCTGTTGACCTATTGTAGCTTATAAAAGGTATTTTGAGTGATCAGTAGACTGTCTTGTTAATGCCCATAGAAACTCTGAAGTGAGTTTTATGATTCCAGTTAATAGATGAAGAAACAGGGCTACCCCTTGGCAGAGGGGCCTGGTAGTTGGGGTGGAGCTGGGCCAGGCTACGGTCTTTGGGACCTCAGACAGGGCTGGGAGCTGATGTGTCTGTGTTTCCAGGCGCTGCCCTATGTGTGCCTCCTCATCGCCATGCTGTTCTTCATCTACGCCATCATCGGCATGCAGGTGGGTGCTATCTGCTTGTACTGGGCTGTGCCCAGGGCCCCCGTTCATAGGAACACGAGGGCATGGGGGAGTGGATTATGGTTGTTAAATGATGATAATAAGCTGGCACTTAGCAAACATTTGCTGTGGAGCCAGATAACTGAGAGAGACCTTGACCTTCACCAACACTTTCAGGGAGGGAGGCACTGAGGCTGAGCTGCTCCCGGTGTCCTGCTACAGGCAGGCCAGCTCTCTGCCCATTCTTGGCCATTTTGCTGGACTAGCAGAAATGAAGGTCAGCTCCTGACACATCACAGGAGATGCCATGCTCCCGAGGAGTCCTGCTGGAGCAGGTGGGCAGGATGCCATCAGGTGACTGTGGTCACTCCATACGATAAGTTCAGGTCCCCTGGTTTAGCACGTCTTTATTTTGCCAAAGAACACTTTTTAGGTGAGGATTTAAAAAATGTAGCTTTCTAGCTATAAAGCTTAGGCATCTAGTCACTTCCCAGCAGCAGGGGTGGGAGATTGACTGAATGGTAATTTATTATTAGAAGTGTCAGTATCTTAAAGTTGAGCTGATTTCTTAACTCTAATTACAAGGATTGGAAAGTTCTTTTAAGTTTAAAATTTCCTGAGGGGCCAGGGATTTAGCTCAGTGGTACTGCTGCCTGCTTTGCAAGTGCAAGGTCCTGAGTTTGATCCCCAGTACAGAACCAACACAGAAATAAATAAAATGTTCTGAGATTTGATATCATATATAATTTTGGGGGGGTCGTTTGAGCCAGGGTCTCATTATGTAGTTGAGACTGACCTGGAACTCACTATGTAGCTCAGGCTGATCTTGAACTCACAGTGATTCTCCTGCCTCAGCCTCCCGAGTGCTGGGATTACAGGAGTGCGCCACCCCACCTGGCTTTTTGATACTATATATTATATGATCTTGCTTTGGTCTGTGGGTATATAAGAGCATGTATATTGTTGATTTTTGTGGAAATGTGATAGTTTATAAATTTGCAACCAGATTCCAGTTTTTAGGCTGAGTATGGTCCTTGACACATTTATATTTTTTACCCTGAATAAAATCAATTAGAATGGATGAAAAGCTCTCTCCACTATTTGCACAAAGGTTTCAAAAGAAACTATCTATTGAAATGTCAGAGTTATTACAATATAACTCTTAACTTGGGGTGGTGACTAAGAGTATGACCTGAAATGCATCTCGTCCCACCCACAGCAGAGCCAGGACATTCCAAGGACAGGATGGCAAATGTAGAGCTCTGGGACATGAGGGACAGTTCAAAAGTGGTTGTCTGTGCTAGGAATGCACACTGGGCCCCGGGCAGTCCCCAAGTTGCATGCACTCCCTCTCCTGCCCAGCATCTTGCTATGGCTCCCAGAACCTGGGAACCTGCCATGTCAGCATGCTGTGGTCCTCCATTTCAGGTGTTTGGAAACATTGCTTTGGATGATGACACCAGCATTAATCGGCACAACAACTTCCGGACGTTCTTACAAGCCTTGATGCTCCTGTTCAGGTATGTTGTGTGGTCAGGCCAGTGTCCATGCGTCATCAAGATGGAGGAAAGCGGATGCCATGTGGGCACCCCTCCCTCCACCCCCTGCTGCTTTCCACCGGTGGACCTTTCCAGTTCTTTCTCTCTGCTCATCCTTTTCGAAGGGTTCCTGCTGTCTGCCACAGCCTCAGGACAGATTGAAAAGAAGCCCTCTGGGGAGATAATTGGGGATGCTCTGGGCAAGCCTGCCCTCCACTCCCTTGTTTCTGCTCTCTGGTGACATCTTAATGGGCTTCAGTGGGGTTATGGGGACAGCACATGCCTGGCAGGGTCTTGCTTGGGGTGTTGGTTTTTAGCTTTCCTCCTACACCTTTACTGATAGAGGGATTGCAGGGGATGAGGGAGAAACAGACTTTAGGGAAAATAGCTGCTGACAGCAGGTGTTCAGTGGCCCTGGAAGACCAGCTTTTCAGAGCTGATTGTCTCTGCCTTCCACCCTTAGCTCCCTAACTCCTTTTGATGCGACCAAGCAGAGCAGCAAGGTAGGAGGCAGGAGGCCTTTGGCACAAGCTTCAGGGCCTTCACATGCCTCCTTGGAAGTGGGCTGAATACCAGCTGCTGTTCCCAGATAGGGAACCTTCTGTAGACTGGGCATTGGCCCTCCTCATCTGGGAGTGACTGTGTCTAGGAGAAGGGCGGAACATGCTCTCCTGCCTCCTGAGACTCCCTCATTTTGCCAATTATGACCCAGGAACAGAAGGGGAAGAACTTTTTGTAGGCATTTATAGTGAGGGTGCTGACATTCTTGTTTCTTTGTGTGAGATGAATAGGTATCTTCAGGTGCACACTTTCCCCTAATCAAGTTATTTCTCTGGACTTCTGTTGTATTCATTTTATGTCTTCACTTACTCTGTTGTGCACCACAAAGATGTGAGGCAAACCTGTGATGTCAACCTTAGTTTTAGGTCTTTGTTCTCAAAAACTTGCTAACCCTGAGCTCCATCAGGCTGGGCCATGCCTGAGGTGTTGAAGGAGCGGAAGCTGGAGTAGCTTGAGCAGGGACAGAGCGGAGCAAGGTTGGCAACAGCCCAGAATTGAGAGCAGATGCGTGGAGCATTTGGGAGCAGTGTCAAGATCCATCCTGCTTCCTGGTCCTGCTGGGAGGCTGTGCAGGTGGAGCTGTCATGGCGGCTTAGGAAGGTCACTGCTGCCTGGCCCAGCTGAACAGAGAAATCTTGGCTGTTTTCTTAAGGTGACTGAGCTAATGGACAGGATTGAGAGACAGGGTTGAGCAGTAGTTTTGGCCCAAGCAGCTGGAAAGGCAGAGTCCTGCTTCTTGAAATGAAGAGGATGAAGACAGCACATGTTGGGAGGTCAGGAGTCTGCTGGGCTGTGTTGTATGCACTGAAGAATGCTCACTGTGGCGCCAGTCCTAGCATAGTAGGTCACTCTTAGTAATTACTTTTTCAGGTAATGGTCACTTTGGAAATCTAACGTCAGAGGGGTGTTTTGAAGATACAGCCATCTGTCACACAGGCCAAGTGGGGTGCATTCACCAAGCTCTCCAAGGGCCCGGCTCCCTCAGTTCATTGCTGGTATGCTGCAGACCTTCCCTTCCACGTACTGTGGGCTCACACCTCTGCCATTCTCCTCAGGAGTGCCACAGGGGAGGCCTGGCATGAGATCATGCTGTCGTGTCTGAGCAACCGGGCCTGTGACCCAAATGCCAATGCCAGCGAGTGTGGGAGTGACTTTGCCTACTTTTACTTCGTATCCTTTATCTTCCTTTGCTCCTTTCTGGTAAGTCCTGGTCACTGTGCTTATGTTTGCCTATCTCAGCTTATTTTGGGGATCCATATCTGTTGGGCCCTGGCTTTGACCCATGCCACATCACAGCTGATCCCACGGCCTCCATTCCCCCAAGCCAATGACCTTGTTAACCCTGGAAAGAACCAGAGGGGATGAGCTCCTGTAGGTCCCTCCCTGACCGCCATGGAAGGACTAGGTTTCTAAGGGCAGTTGCCCTCAGGTGTCCAGCTGCTAGAAAGGTGTCCATTGTATTGTGCTATGTGGAGAAGCAGCCAGCATGGCAGTGGGGGGATTGGGTTGCAGAGGTGGACCCAGCAGTATGGATCCTATTCTAGGTCACTGGGGCCCTGGAGCCTTGGGGGAGATGTGTTCTGCTTGGTGTTTCACAGCTTGACTCTGGTGAGGGAAGGGGCCACAGAGTAAGTAGTAGGGCAGTGGCTTAGAGTATGGGGGCTAAACTGCATTTCACAGGTAGAACTGACCTAATTAAGAAAGAGAAGAGAAAAACCACACCAAACTCCCCCCAAAAAAACTCATACCTGGAGTTTTCCAGGCAATGGGTAACCTAAATAACTTTTTCTGAGTTTTGTGGGATATTGCAGACATGGGTTGGAGGGGATAGAGATGCAGATGCCTCATAAACCTCTGGGGTGGAGATACGAATGAGATGCCATTGGTCTTTGGATTGTCTGTGGAGCTGGAGGACCTCCTCTGGGTCCTTGCTGTAAAGTGCATTCCAGCAACCCATTGTAGCTTAAGCATCATGTGAGTGCTAGTTAGAAATGAAGATTCCTGGGCCTCATCCCTAGGCTATGTCAGGATATCTAGGAGAGGGATCTGGAAATCTTGAGTTTTAACAAGCTCTGGGGCAGTTGTGCAAATGCTAAACTTTGAGGTGGATTAACATAAGGAAAGATTTGAATTGAGAAGGAGGCAGAAGATTCTACCTCTGGCCACATAGGAGATAGGAGCATTAGGTCTGGGAGCTGGGATGAGGCACTTAAAGCAGTGGCTGAAGGGAAGGAATAATATACCCCAAGACATATGATTAGCAGGTAAAGTGAGACAGTGACTGAGAATGGATGGTGGAGGTGGGTGGTGACCCTTGCAGGAATAGTTTTTGCTGGCTTAGTGGGAATGAAAGTTTTCTGGCAGTGGGTTCAAGCTCAGTGAGAAGTGAGGGGCATTACAGGGACAGACCACTCTCCCATCGTGCAGTGCTGAGGAGATCCTCACATCTACAACCATGACCTGCAGTGGAGCCAGCCAGCATGGTTGTGCTTTTCTCTAACCAGTCACTCCTTGGAATCCATGGGTAGAGATGTAGATTATCCAGATTTGAAATTTCCCAGACAAGCATAAGATGGAGAGAAGGGTGCATGTGAGCATGTGGACAGGCAGTAAGTGCTGGAGGGAAGTAAGGACAGAGACACACTGGGTTGGAGGTTCTTGTATAAAGAAGCCTCAGGATACAGATACTACGGCAGGGCTAGGGATTTAGCTCCGTGATGCCATGCCTGTGTCGTAAGCACAAGGTTGTGAGTTTAATCTCTGGTACCCCCCAAAAAAAACCTAAGAGCAAATAAGCTGGAAGGGAAGGTGACATGAGTAGTGTGTGAGACTTATGGAGTTAAGACTGGGGAGGAGGTGATGGTAACATTGTCAGTCATTGGGAATAACCAAGCTTGACATATTGTAGGAGTTAGGAACTGAGTGACTTGGGGTAAGAAGCCCACCAGTGGAAAGACCAGGTGTGATCAGCCCATCTTTGTGGACCTCAAAAGCAGCATGGATGATGGGGCTTACTGTCTGTAATCTGTACACTTAAAAATGGCTAAAATGAAAAATTTTTGCTATGTATATTTTACCACAGTAAAAATATAGAAGAAAAAAGAATTACTACTCAAACTTTTTCTGGAATGGGAGTGTAGCTCAGTGGTGCCATGCTTGCCTGGAAAGTGCAAGATCCTGTGTTCAATTCCTGGTACCAAAAAGCAAACAAAAAACCCAGACTCTTTCCAAAAATTGAAGAGGAGGGAATACTCACTAACACATTCTATGAGGCCATCATCACCTTGATAGTATGGCCAAAGATGACACTAAACTGAAGACTAATAGCCCCTGGGAATATAGATGTAAACATCCTCAACAGAATACTAGCAACCAGTCCTAACATATTTAAGGGAGTATTCCCTATGACCAAACGAGGTGTCTCTCAGGGATGCAAGTGTGATTAAACTTGAGAAAAATTGATGTTAAATACCATATCAATGGTATGAAGGGGCAAAAAACAAAACAAAACAAAACAAAAAACCCGAGCATGTCAATGTGGAGGAAACATTTGACAAATTTCAACGCCCTCGCCCTTTCATGATTAACAGTAAACACTTAGCAAACTACAAATAGAAGGGTACTTAACATGACAAAGGACTCTTATGAAAAACTCACAACCAACATTCTGCTCAGTGGTAAAAGACTGAGGCTTCCCCAAAAGGCAGGGAATGAGGAGATATTCCTCACAGATACCCTGCATGGTGATTGTAGTCCCAGCCAGAACAACTAGACAAGAAAAAGAAAAGGCATCCAAGTTGGAAAGGAGGAAGTGTATGTATTTTAAGGTAGCACAGTTCTGTATATAGAAAATCCCGCAGGTGTACACAGACACAATACTACTAGAGCTAATAAATGAATTCAGTAAAACTACAGGGTGAAAATCAAACAAAAATTGATGTTTTTTTATTCACTAACAATGAAAAAGCTGAAAAGGACATTCAGAAAAAAATTCTGTTTTCAGTAACATCCAAAAGAATAAAGTACCTGGGAATAAAATAACCAAGGAGGTGAAAAACTTTAATTGAACTATGTGAACATTGGTGTAAAGAAATGAAAGATACATTTAAATGGAAAATCATCCCACATCCATGGATTATAAGACTTAATACTAGAAAACGTCAATATTCCCCCAAATGATAAATGGGTTAAATGCAGACCCTATCAAAATCCTAATGGCCTTTTTGGTTGCAGAAGTGGAAAAGCAGATCCACAAGTTTATATGGTATTGCAAAGAAATAGCCTAACCAGTCCTCAAAAGAAAAAGCTTTCCTCATTTCCCACATTTCCTCATTTCAAAACTTAGTATAAAGCTACCGTAATTAAAACAGTATTACTCGTGTAGGAATGGACATACAGGCCAGAGGAATAGAATTGAGAATTCAGAAATAAACCTAAACATCGATGACCAATTAATTTTTGACAAGGGTGCTCATGGAGAAAGAAGTCTTTCTTTCATTAATAATTGAAGTGGGAGAGACTAGTCTGCAACAAATGGTATGAAGAAAATGGTACCTGCATACAAAATAATGACCCCCTACTTGCTCCACGTGCAAAATCAACTGATCAAAGACCTACATAGAAAAACTAAAAATATTAGAATATATAGGAGGTAAAATGTCAAGATTTCAAAATTGGCACTGGAGGGCTGGGGATTTAGCTCAATAATTCCGCTGCCTGCCTTGCAAGGGCAAGGACCCAAGTTAGAGTCCTGGTACCGGGAGAGGGGGGGATTGGCAATGGATTCTTTGGTTTGACATCAAAATCATGAACAAAAATAAAATTAGATTATTTGTACTTCTTCAAAATTAAAAACTTGCATATCAGTACATTATCAGATATGTAAAAATATAGTCTCAGAATGGGAAAAAATGTTTACAAATTAACACATATCTCATAAGAGGTTAGTATCCATCCTGTATAAAGAACTTTTAAGCCTGGCACTGTGATGCATGCCTGTAATCCTAGTACTCTAGGAGGCTGAGGCAAGAAGATAGTAAGTTTGAGCCCAGCATGAACAACTTAGAGGTTTAGCAAGATCTGTATCAAGAGTTTTTAAAAATGAAAAAGGAACTAGAGTTGTAGTTCAGTGTAAAGGCTCTGGGTTCAGTCCACAGTACCAGAAACAAACAACTTTTACAGCTCAAGAACAAAAAGACAAATTTTAAATGGGCAAAAGACCAAAAAAGACATTTTTCTAAAGAAGACACACAAATGAAGAAATGCTCAACATCTTTGGTCTTCAGGAAATGCAAATCAAAATCACAACAAGATACCATTTATACCTGCAATGATAGTTGCAATATTTTTTTGAAAACAGAAAATGACAAGTATTGGCAAATCTGTGTAGAAATTGGAACTGTGGTCATTGCTGGTGGGAATGTTAAAAACACAGCAGCTGCTGTGAAAAAGTATGAACTTTCCTTTAAAAATTAAGCATAAAATTACCTGTGACCCAGAAATTCCACTCTTACGTGCATAGCCAAGAGACATGAAAAGACATATCTGCATAGAAACAGGCATATGAGTGCTTACAGTACGAGCCATCATACTAGTCAGAAGGAGGAGATACCACAGATTTCCGAGAACCGAGGGGAGTCCTTTGCCACAGTGTGGATGGACCTCAGAAACGTTATACGGAGTGAAAGAAGGCCAGACAGAAAAGAGCACATTAGTTGATTACTTTTTTATTAAATATCCAGAAAAAACAAGTCTAGAGAGAGAAATGAGAACGGTGGCTGCCAGAGTCTGGGTTGAGGAACAAGGGGTGATTAATTAATGGGTGCAGGGTGGACTTTAGCGATTATGAAAAAAATTGAAACTGGAGAGAAGTTTGCACAATATTGTAAATGTGCTAAATACATCTGAATTATTCATGTAAAATGATTAATTGTATGTTATGTGGATTTTGGCCCCATTAGAAAACGCAAGCTTCTCACTGGTCATGTCCATGCTGCTGATTCCACAGAAGGATAGCCTGAGGGGGCACAGTGCCCCTCACAGAGCTGGGGAGTGATTGACTTGGGTGTCTGGGTGGCTCATGGGCAAGGGAGCATGGAGCCTGAGTTGGCGAAGGACCATAGCAGTAGAGAGCAGAGTTTTCCAGGGACTAAATGTTGGAAGTGCGTGTGTGGGATCTGCAACCTAGAATCTGGGGCTGAGGAGGACCTGAATGCCATTGGAGAGCAGGTCTGGCTGGCACTGGCCAAAGCAGAGTTCCTAGTGCCTGGACAGCCCCACAAAACGTGGCTGGAAGATGAGGGCAGGGCGAGTGGGCAGGCTGAGCTGTCTCTGTGTCACCTCTTCTCCTTCCTGTCCTGCAGATGTTGAACCTCTTTGTGGCTGTGATCATGGATAATTTTGAGTACCTCACGCGGGACTCTTCCATCCTAGGGCCTCACCACCTGGACGAGTTCATCCGGGTCTGGGCTGAATACGACCCGGCTGCATGGTGAGTGAGCCCTAGTGCTCTGTGATTCTCAGGGGTGTCCTTACCCAGTTTCTGGGACAGGCCAGGGGAGCCTCGGACATGTTTCACATGAGTGCTCCCCTCAGCTGTCAGTCTGGGATGTAGGTCCGTCATGTGGAATGGTGCTGGTGTCCCCTTTGAGTGGTCCTTTTTCAGTCTTGTATGCCTTGATGAAGCTCCAGAGCAGAGACCCTCAGTTGCCCCTCAAGAGGTGCCTGTGCCTGGTGTCCTGGAGGTTTGGGAGGTCTATGAGGCTTGGGGCTCTTTGTGTGTGAATGTTTTATGCCTTCTGTCAAGGCCCATCGATAAGGGAGAGTGTGGAGACAGCATGCTTGGACCACCCTTTGACACTCAGGGGGCTCTGAGGGCAAAAGTACCGTGGGGTTTTTGGACATTCCCCCCGGTAGTCAGGGGTCTTTTCTGCCATCTCCCTTGGGGACGAGAGCCAACATGTGCCTGTGTCCTCAGCCCTGGCACAGTGGGCACTTTGGTGAACTTGGATTGAAACCAGAAAAACCACCAGGAGTGCTTCAGTTTGTTCAGAACCCATTGAGCAAGGTGGGAAAGAGTGACCATATGGCTTCCCTAAGTGAGGGGTGAGACATTTCTAGACAGTGGGGCTCCTGCAAGGTGTTGGGATCAGATAGTGATATTGTTTGAGACTGTTTTCCATGGAAGAGCCCTGCACTGCACCGTGCTGTGCCCAGGGCAGAGACCACTTTTGGGCAGGGGAGGGCACAGCAGCAGGGCTTGCACCATCCACCTGTCCACAACTCACCCGTAGCACCCACAGTCTGTCTCCTATCTACACTCCTCCTCACTCTCACCCGCTCCTTCACACATTCGCTTGCTTGCTTCTTTGCTCATCTGCTTACTCATTTAATCATCCATTCACTAACTCACCCACTCATTTGCTCGTTCACTAGTTTGTTCATTCTTTCATTCACCCTGTACTCACTCACTTATTTACCTGCTTTTCCACACTTCACTTTTTCACTCACTCAACTGCTCCAGCAGTAGCTACTGAGAGCTGCTCCCTGCAAGGCGGGCACAGGAGATATGGGGCTGACCCTGGGCTGCTAGGTAAGAACAGGCCTGCTGGTGCCTTGTGCATTATGAGTGCTCAGGAACCGTGAATGGATGCAGGGGAAGACAACCACAGACCTGGGTCCAGCTCCCTGTCTGCCCCTGTGCCATGCATGACATAGCACCCTGCAGAGGGAAGGCCTGGAAGAAATGTTCAGGCTCCTGGTGGTGAGCCTCCCGCTGCCCATGGTCTCCTTGGGTTTCCGCTGGTGTGCAGCTGACTGTGAGGAACCCTCTGCAGACCCTGAGGGCTTGGCCATGTTCCCTTAGCTGCCCCTTGTACCTTTATCCTCCATCTGGAAGCCTCACCATCATCTGGGTGCATTGGGAGCCAGGGACAAAGACCTCTCCTGTCCAGGCTTTTCCAGACCGACAGCATCTCCCTGTACAGCCTCCATTTTAATGAGGAGTGAATTTACAGTTTTGGTACAGTGCAGAAGAAGCACAGCAGTTGCTTGTTTCTTGGTCTATGTGACCATCTTCTTGGCTTTGGAGGCCCCACCATATCTGATGCTTCCACGTCTTTGTCCTGCAGTGCCCCTGATCTTGCTAGACAGGTATGGGGATTTTTAACTGAGTCCTGTGGTCAGGAAGGCCATTCATATGGGGTGGAGAGTGGAGCGTGTCAGGCAAAGGGCAAGAGCATCTGGAACTCAGCCATGATTCAGGTGCGTGTCAGGGGCACCAGTCTAATTCTGATCTGGAGTCCGCTGTCTTGGGAACATTGTCCCCAGAGGAGTATATTGTAGAAAACATGAGGGGCGGGGAGAGAACGAGCACACCCAGGCCTTCCATAGTAAGCCGTGGATGAAGGTGGACTTGGGCTAACTGCAGCTTTGCATCATGCATAAAGAAACCCAAACTGTTTCTCAAGTTCCAGAATTGGACACTGGGGATGCTGCAAGAATAGGGCTTGTCACAGAATAGACAGCAGAGATAAGCCTTGCCCCAGAGGTGGCATGTACCAGGTCCTACACAAGATCATGAGCCTGAACTGGAAGATACGGCTGTAGGCAGTACTCAGCTCTGCTTTACAAAAGCCTCAGACAAAGCATAGCCCTAAGTGGCCTGTGGAGGCCGATATGAATCCAAGTCCTTGGCACAACAGAGGGCAGTGCAAGCCTTTTGGTAGCTTCCAGGACGGATGACCACTTGGATGTCTCTTTAGTATTTGGGAGACACTTTGAAACCACAACAAAATTGTTAATTTCTCAACATTTTCACATGTGTGTATATGTACATGTGTGGCTGTGTGTGTGTATAAGTGTGTACATATCCATTCTTACATTTGTGTGACTCTCTCTGTGCTGTGTGCATGTGCCACGTATGTTGTGTTGTGCACAGATGTGTGTATACATGTGTCCATGCTCCTGTGTGCATATAGGCACACATGTATATGCACATTTTTGTGTGTGCATGTAATTGAGTTTGTGTGTATGTATGCAAGGGGACTACACATTCATGTGTGTCTGCACCTGTGTGTGATGCGTTTATTGCATGTCTGTATGCATATGCCTGTGTATGTCATGTGTGCAAGCACAGTTGCATGTATGTAAGCCCATGCACACTCTGGGAGACACTAAGTGTTGACATTTAGAGTCGCCTTTTCCCTAGCTTCCCTTTTATTGATGCCTCTAGACTTTGTGAAATGTAAAGACTCAAAAGGTGACCCAAAGTCACACTTCTCCGAGCAGTCTGTCTGCTGCCCAGTTTATGTTCATCTGTCTGTCCAGTATTGTTGAGCATCCACCGTGTGTTGGGCACAGGGTGACAAGGTGAAGCAGGTGTGTGCTCTCAGAACACCTGGCTAGGATGCATGGGGGGATGGCAGTAGTTGGAGCTCAAAGCTAGGGCATCTGAGGCCAGAAATTACTTGTGCCATCTGTCTTTTGGTCAGAACTACCATCTTCCAGTGATTTGCCAAGATGACAGACACAAAGGGAAGGAGGGGAGGAACCCGGTATATGTTCTCTAGGCCTTTTAGAAAATGTGGGGTTGTTCCTTTGGCCACGTACATGTGGCTCTACAAAAAGGTTGATATTGCAGGCATCAAGGGATTGGGTACTGTTCAAAAAGGAATGCCACACAAATGTTACCATGGCAAGACTGGAAGAGTCTACAGTGTTACCCAGCGTGCTGTTGGCATCGTTGTAAACGAGCAAGTTGAGGGCGAGATGCTTGCCGGGAGGATTAATGTGCGTATTGAGCATATTAAACACTCAAAGAGTCAAGATAGCTTCCTGAAACGTGTCCAGGAAAACGACCAGAAAAGGAAGGACGCCAAAGAGAAAGGGGCCTGCGTCCAGCTGAGTGCCAGCCTGCCCCGCTCAGAGAAGCACACTCTGTGAGAACCGAGGGAAGGAGCCTGAGTGGCTGGAGCCTGTTCCCTGTGGATTCATGGCATAAGCTGGGGATGTGGCTCTGCCGTGCAGCACCTGGTTAGCGGCTAAGTGTCCTTGGCCCTACTTAAAAATAAAAAATCATCTTGTGTTGTCAGGGTGGTTTTCTTAATTGAATAGGTATGTGTTAGATTTCCCTTGCGTTAAGATTGCTGCCACGTGGAATAGCAGCCTCCTTCCCATAAACGCCATGTTAAAATATGGCTTCTCCCACCAAAGGACAGTCTTATTCTTCCCAACATGCCCCTCTTCCCGCCAAGAAAGATAACCTGATACTTGCTACCTCCTAGCAGCTAGTGATGTCACATGCCCCTCCTAGTGCTGTCACAGGCTCCTCCAATCCCTTAATACTACCTCACTCAACTCCACCCCAGCTCAGGCTAACCCCACCCTGCTCCTATAAAAGAAGCTCCCTGTTCTGCCATGTTTCTTTTCTCTCCTTTGTTCAGAGACGTCCTGGCAGATCCTCCCCATAATAAAGGCTTGTTATTGTCCTGGTCTGGTCCTGGTTTTCAGCTCTTTTTACCTAACAGTATGTGGTGCCTTTACCTCAGAGAAACAAGTATTTGGAGGAGACTCTCATTATACCTACTTAATTATGTCAGAACTTTATTCTTCATTGTTCTTGCTAAAAGATGCGAGGTATTAGGTGTGTACCCAAATGGCCACATATTTATGAAATACTTATATTGGATTGAAGATTCATTTAAATGACGTATCAAAATAAATGGAAGTCAGTATATGACATTTCAGTTAAATAAATTGTCTAAAGCACCCTAAAAAAGAAATACTTGTGACATTGGAGCTGATGCCAAGGAAGAAGATAAGTGGAGCCCCAGAGAAGGCTGAGGCAGGTGGAAAAGCAAGGGGACGTCCAGGTACGGTGCACCAGGCTGGAGTGGAGAATGCATTATAAGGGGCTGGTATAGACTTTGAAACATGGGTTTAAAAAGGAGCTTTGATTTTGTTTTATAGAAAATGGGAAAGTTTTTGAGTCAGTTAGTGACAGTATTGGGCCCACACTTTTCATTTGGTGGCACCAGACAAGTTTGATAAATAGGGGTCCCATTCCCCTTGCCCCTTGGTAATAGTCCCCCAACAGGGTGACCAAGCACTTGGGTGAGGCCAAAGGGGGACTTTGTCTTGCTTCCTTCTCAACATAAGTTGGAGCTGATTGGACTGAGGGAGGCTGCACTACAGAAGAGAAAAACATCAGTGTTGACCCAAGCCAGCACTGGAAAGAGGCTGTCTAGCTGAACCAGCAGGTTCCAGGTTGGAACTTGGTGTGTCCAGGAAGATGGGACAGTCAGGAGGCACCTCTGAGGTGGACTTGTACCTCTGAGACAGCTATGGTGGAGACACAGGTTTATGAGAACAGGATCAGAGGGAGACTTGTGTAGGCGCTCTGGCACTCAAGAGAGGCAGGGCTGACAGCTGAGCAGGCCCAGGCCAGACTGATGAGGACAGGCAGGATAGCATGTGCAGAGTAGATGTTATGCAGGTGCTGATGTGTGAGGAGTGTGTCTTGTCTCTCTGAAGCACTCAGATGTTCTGTGAGAAGTGTTCCCTGCCTGTCTTGGGCTCTAGAGATCATCTTGGCTTAACATACCTCATGGGGTGCTCCAGCCCCCAGCAGGGAGCAGCCTGGCCCGCTGTACCCCTCACCTCCACCATGACTGCTCAAGGTCATATCTTCCTATTGCAGGCTGGGTGGCTGGGTGGGTGGGGCTCCATCATGCCTTTGTTGCCATAACCTGTGACATTTCCTTTCCAGTTGCCGGATTCATTATAAGGATATGTACAGTTTGTTGCGTTGTATTGCGCCACCCGTTGGCTTAGGGAAGAACTGCCCTCGTAGGTTGGCCTACAAGGTTTGCAACTTCAGAGCCTCCATCCAACAACATAACTTCCCTGCCCGAACTGCAAACACAGCACACACTCCCTGCCTGGTTTGGGAATGACAGCACTTCACCTCTTTCCTCCTGTCCTGCCCTGCCCGCACTCCGGCCTCCTAGATGCTTTGGTTCCCTGTCTAAGCTCCCAAACCCTTCATCTGGCTGGGGCAGGCAGCCTTTGGAGACAGCACACAGCTCTGGCTGGGTTGTGTTGGCCAGGACCAGCTGGCCGGGTGGGTGCTGGGGCCAGGTCCAGCCTGTGCCACAAAAGCAGCCATCTGACCCAATTCTTCCTCTAGGCTCATGTGGGTTGGCTGATGGTCAGATAGGCCAGAGATTGAGGGTCCAGAGTAGGGGAGTGTGGGTGCAAGTAAACCAGGAGCAGTGGCCCCTTTTGGTCGGAGAGGCTTCCCGATCCCTGGGGGAGGAGAGAACAGAGGTGAGCAGGGCCCAAAGACAAGTCATCCTGTGTCACCTCTGGACGGATCATTCCACCCAGCAGAGGAACCCTGTGGTCCGAAACTGGGATGAGGGCAGGTTCTGGGCAGATCTGCCTGCCGGGAAAAGGCCAGGCTTGAATTTGCTGTATCTCTGGGTCCCCAAGCCTTCAGGCAATGCTCCCAGAGCAGAGGGAAACCCAAAGCCTGGGGAAGAGTCACCACCATCTCCCAGGTGCCTCCTGAGTCCAGCTCAGGTCCCCACCTGAGTGGTCAGGCAGCACAGGAGTGGCCCAGGTCTCACCCACCCAGCACCTCTCCTCCCTGCAGTGTCTTCCCTTCCAGCCCTGGCCCCAGCAGCAGCCCTGCCCTGGCTGCCTCGGGCGTCTCTGGGCTTGGAGCAGGACTTGCCTTATGGTCAAGTTTGGCTCTAGAGCTTCGAAGATCCCTTTCTGATTTTCTGGTCTGTTGTAGACATTTCTCCACTTTAGCCTCTGGCCTCACTCGGAAGCAAATCTGACTGTTCAGACAGCTGGTGTTGCTGCTGTGGTCTCAGCCACAGCCACATCTCCACGATCAGCCAGCTCTTCCCGCATGGTGAAACAGCTCTTCTCTGATTCGGCCTTATGTGTGGTTCTAAAAGAGTAAAATCAGAAATTTACAACCCAAAGCCGCCCCGATGCAGCCCTTCCTCCCCCTCCATGTTCATTAGCTCAGATGTCACCCCTGCCCGCTGCCCTGCGTGGGGCTGGAGTGAGGAGGTGAGGCTCGGGGGGTGGGGGCAGCAGGGGTGGAGTCAAGCAGAGAAACCCCTCATTTGACCTCTCTTAATTGTGGGTGTGTCGCCTGGCACTTGGATTAACTAGATGTGTTTTCTTGTCTGCTTCCTCCCTGCCCCTGCCCTGCTCTGCCCCTCTGCTGCCTGCCTCGTCCTGTGGACCGCCCCACTGTGCCTGCCTTTCTGGGACGGGTTTCCAGTGGGCGCATCAGTTACAATGACATGTTTGAGATGCTGAAACACATGTCCCCACCTCTGGGGCTGGGGAAGAAATGCCCTGCTCGAGTTGCATACAAGGTAGACCCTGACCCTACACCCCTGCCCCAGGAGCTGTCTGTGAGAGGCTGGGCTGCCCTGGCCTGCTCCCATCTGCAAGATGCTCCTGAGCTCTCCCCACTGCTGCTTTTGCAGGGCTCACCCAGCTGTCTGTCTGCCCCTGGCTGCCTCACTGCTTCCCTCTTCTCCACCTTGCCCATCTCTGCTCCCACCCCAGGCAGAGGGACATGGCTGCTGCGAGGCCTCTGCACTGCCTTGGTGCTCCATCCCTGTCCTCTCCTGACAGCCCAGAGAGGCTGGAAGATGGAGCCAGAGTGCTACCCACCTTCCCTTCCTTTTCTAGGAATAAGGGGACAGACCCATGTTCTGAACAGAGATTGTTTTATTTTGGTTTCAGAACCACCTGCTGCACCATTCTGTAAGGTCCTCAGAGTCTGGCCTTTGGGAACAGTTTGGACCTGTAGGGGTCCAGATGCTGTACACAGACACAAACACACACACACACACACACACACACACACACACACACACACACACACACACACACACCCTGCCAAATTCAGCCAATGCCTGGACAGTCTGCAGGGACTTCCTGGCCCCTTGTGGGAAGGAGGCATTGTGGCATTGAGAAAGTAGGCCGAGAGGGAGGTCATTGCCAGCCTGCCTGAGGTTTCTTAACCTGTTGCAGGCGAGGAAAAGCCTCGGGCCCAGAGTTCCAGATGACTAGGCTTTAAGAACAGGCCAGGATGCCTCCAGCCACCTTCCTGGGGCGGGTATGTGGGTCCCACAGCCCTAGCCCCACACCTGCTCACCTGCCTGTGGCACCCCCAGGCACCCCACCCACCTGGGCCCCTCTGCTGGCCCCCACTGTTGTCCAACAAGCTATCTGAGAAGGCTTCATTTGGTGTCTCCTGTCCACAGTGTTTGTGCCTCAGTCTAGGTCATTGTCTACCACCTGATCCAGTGCAGCCTATGGAGTCACACTGCTCCTACCAGCCACAGAGACACCTCTGGTGTCTCCCTTGGCCCTTCCTTTGCCCATATTCGCATGTGTGTTGTACCTGCTGCATGCAAGGCTGTAGCCCTGTCTCAAGGGCGGGGAGAGCTCTGTCCACACCGACATGGCAGGGTGCCAGTGCAGTAAGACCCTTCCAGACAAACCCGCTGACTCTGAGGTTCTGGACAGGTTGGGGATGATGGGCTTAGGCAAGCTTCAGGGGGTTCAAGGGATGCCTGGAGCATTGTGGCACTGTTGCTTTGCCCTGTCCTTGCCCCTAGCTTCTCAGCTCCTGGCACATCAGGACCTGGGGCAAGGGGTAGGAGTCCCAGTGAAGGCAACCCTCGGAGAGCCCTGGACAGAGCTCTCTCTTGCAAAACCACCCGCTTGCTCCTTGTTCACTCCCATCCCCACTTCCCTCCCTGGGAGAGGAATTTCTCCACCTCTCACACTGCCATCGGTGCTGGTCTGCAGGGACGCCATGCTCTGGGAAGCTAGTTTCTCCTGGTGTGCAGTACGTGTGTGTATGTGGAGTCCTGGCACTATGATTGGATGTGCCAAGTGGGGCTTTGCCAGCATTCGAGCAACAGTCTGGCTCATATTTTCAGCCTCCTTGCACCGCCACCCACCATCACGCTGAGATCTCTGGATTTGAGACCAGGGTATTAGGGCAGGGCTCTGAACCCTTCCCAGAGGAGGGGCTAAGGGCTTGCTTTGCCACAGAGCCAGGACCCAGGGAGGAGCTCCTGTCTCCAGCCACATCCTATGAGAGGACAGGGTGGGCATTGTGTTTCTGGGTCTCTGGCTGAGCATCTTAGATCTGTTCCCTTTGGAACACCCTGTGAACTCTCAGGGCCTGAGGCTTTAGGCAGCTGCAGGCTCAGCCTGGAAGACCATGAGTCAGTCACACACTTGTCCAACTGTCCCTCCCTGAAAACCAAAGAAAGCAAAGGGGGCTGGCTCAGGGAGGTGGGAGCAGATGCTCCTCTCGTAGCTGTTGGCTGCAGTCTCCTTAGTTCTGGTTCCTTCCAGCTGGAAGGAGCTAATCTCTAAGGCTTCTCAGCTGAGCCAGTCTTTGCTTCGAGTGGCATCAAGTGTGTCTTCTGGCTGCCTGGCTGGGCTTGAGGTAAAGCTAGGGAATCTCCCTACAGGGTACCTCTCTGGGGGCTGGGGCTCAGGGTGGGACTCTTGGCTTCCACTCTTATCTGGATGACCCAGTTGCTGGTAGAGGGGAGGTGGGCAGACCCTTAGAACTGAGGCCTGCTCTCCTGCTGTGGGCTCCACGATGGACCCTTCCTCAGCCAGTGCCACACACCGTCTTTCATTCATGACCTGGGGCCAAGGTCCCTCTGGGTGACAGTGTCCCTATTCTTTCAGAGGGATCCAGGCTCCTGGCCTGACCCCATGCTACATACTTTACCTGGATTTCTGCTTCTCTGTAGCAGTAGAATCCTCAGCTCAGATGAGGGTGGGAGTCGGGGTGAATGTGAATGCTGGCAAAACTCTCCTCCACCCAACCTCGTGTAGGCCCAAGCACCTGCAGGGACCACCCTCAGGCAGCCCAGGCAGTCCCCAGGTGCCCAAAGCACTGGGCAGCCCTGGGGTGGGGGTGACCCTGGCGCACCTCACTCTTACCTGCTCCCCTTTATCCCCAGCGCCTGGTTCGCATGAACATGCCCATCTCCAATGAGGATATGACCGTGCACTTCACCTCCACACTCATGGCCCTCATCCGGACAGCGCTGGAGATCAAGCTGGCCCCCGGTGAGTTAGGCAGCCTGAGTGTGCACGGAAGAGGGGAAGGGGTGGCTCCATCTGGAGGATTGCTGCACAGAGCACCTGCTCTGTTGGGCGCCACAATGCCCCATATCCAGGTGGGGAAACTGAGGCACAGGGAAAGGGATAATTTGTTCAGAGCCAACCAGTGGTGGAGCTAGAGTTTGTCCTAGCCCATGCCCCTGAGGGGCTGTGCCTGGCCTGTGCTCCCTTTGCCTTCCCTTTAGAGAGAAGACGGGAGCCACAGAGGGGACCTGCTGCCTTGTACCATCTGCCTGTCCCCTCTGCAGCCAGGCCCTCTTCTCACTGTCTCCCTGGACCTCCCCACAGTTCTGTTCTCTTTTATTGCCTTGTTGGGTTTTCTCTTTTCTGTATCACTTATACCAATATGTATATGCACCACTGTTTATTTCTTTAAAGATTTCTTTTTCACCCTTCTATTGATTCCTTGCTTTTCTTCCTTCCTCCATAGCAACCAGCTCCCAGCAGGGCGGCATGTCTCTTGTCTTGATTCTCTTTCTGGTCTCCAGTTGGGCTGAGCCCCACCCTTGATGACCTTTTGTTCCATGTGGCCAAACTTGAAGGTCAATCCTCAGTCTTTGTTCAGCTCTTCTCGACTTTACTCCCTTCTGTGTGAAACCTTTCGCGTCTTTTTGTGGTTTCTCCACCTCCCACTCTGTACTGTGCTCAGAGAGTCCTCATTGACACCCTCATCAGTCTTTTACCATCTCACCTGTTCCTTGTGCATATCATGAATTCCAATCTTGTAATTTTATCCCAAACTCAAACTTCCTGCAATTTATTCTTGTCTTCCTGAAGGACACTCAGCATCCCACAGTTGACTTGCCTGGACCTCACCTCCAGCTGGTCCCCATAGCTTTCCCAGAATCATGAGTGGGACTCTGTGCCTCCCACTGCTCAAGCCACAACCTTGGAATCCTTCGTACTGCCTCTTGTTTCCTTGTCTCATTTCTGAATCATGTCCAGTCTCATATCCTGACTCTGCCTCCCAAATATATCCAGAATGTGTCTTCTGCCCTTTGCCCACTGCCACCTCCTGACCCGAACCTGCCAGCTTGCTGTGCATTTCTACAGCAGTCTTTTCTCTGATTTATGACTGCTTTCACCCCTCTCAGTCAGCCCTCAAGAATGAACAGGTTAAAAACTAGAAGACTAGCTAGACTGATCAGGAAGAGAAAAATGACCGATGTGAGGAACAAAAGAGGGAACATCACTGCAAATCCTGCTGACAGTAAAAGAAAAGAATAGCAAGGGAATATTATAATCAGCATTCTGTGGGTCAACTCAGCAGTTTAAATGAAATGGAAAAAATTCCTTGAAAAAACACCCCTAACTGTTAGGCTCATTCAGGAGCCAGGTATGCTGACACATACCTATAATTCTAGAATTCTGGGAAGTCACAACAGGAGGATTGCAAGTTTGAGTCCAGTCTGGGCAGTTTAACAACTTAACAAGACCCTGTCTCAGTAAAAAGTTGAGAGGGCCGGGGATATAGTTTGCTGTGAAGGCCCAGCACCACACACATATACTCACATATTCATATTCTCTGTCCCTCCCTCCCTCTCCTCTCTCCCTCTCCTCTCTCTCTCTCCAATATTATATGTGTTAAATAAACTATTAGTGAATAACCTTCCAATAAAAATAATTCCAGTCCTAGATGGTTTCATGGGGGAAGGCTTCTAAATTTTTAGTAAAGAAATAATGCCAATGCTAAGATTTACAGAATATAGCAAAAGATGTGAGTATTTCTAACCTACTTTATGTGAGCTTTACTCTAACATGAAACCAGTCACAGATATGACAAGAAAAGAAAACTACAGATCTATATGTCTCATCAATATAGACAGAAAATTTTCAACACAATCTTAGCAAACAGTCTAGCAGTACATCAAAGAAGATAGGATGACATGGAAATGCAGATGTTTGAAACTCAGTTTAATTTCCCACATTAATAGAAACTATATGATGCCTTGATAGAAAAAGCATTTGACAAAATTCGCATGCATGCGTGCATGAATAAAAAGGTTTATCTAAACCAGGAATTAAAAGAAACATACTCTGTGGAAAAAAAAGCACAAAAAATGTCAAAGATTGGGAAGCCAGAGGCAGATACTGTTATCACCGTGTTCGATGTGGCACTTGAGGTTGCAGACACTGTAGTAAGGCAAGCAAAGGTGGTAACAACAGGAAATGATGGTGCCTCTGTTCACAGTCAACATGATTACTGCGTAAGAGAGCCCTAAAAGTTTACTTTAAAAGTCACTGAAACTAATAAGTTAACGTAACAAGGTCATGAGATACAAGATTAGAGTACAAAAGCAGTTGTTAAATTTCTGTGTACTAACTGAAATGAAGCAAAAGTCCCATCAAAATAGCATTACAGCCATGAAACATTTGTTTTGCTGGATAACTGAAAAATGAATATGCAAGATACATATGCTGTAAATTTCAAAACATTCATAACAGGAATCAAAACCTTAAATAAATTGAACATTCCAGGTCATGTCCGTGGATGGGAAGACTCAACATTGCTAAGACATCAGGTCTAATATTGATCATTAAAATCAATGATGTTCTGTCAGAATCCTCTGATAGTAATTTATAAGTCAATGCTAAAATTTATATAGAAAAACAAAAGAAACAAAGTGATAGTTTTGAAGAAGAACAAAGTTTAAAAACTCAATGAAACTGTATTGGTCAAGGTGTAGGTGACAGGGTAGAGATATAGAATAATGGAACAGAACAGAGATGTGTATCATATGGTCAAATGATTTTCAGCAGAGTTGCCAAGGTAATTAAGGAAAAAGTCATCATTACTATCAAATAGTGCTGGAAAAATTTAGACAACCATATGCAAAAAGGAAAAAATGCTTGACTCAAACTGCCTTAGTCTACTCAGGCTGGCAGCACAGGATACTAAAGTTTGATTGGTTTAAACAACAAAAACTTATTTCTCACAGTTCTGGAGGCTGAGATGTCCAAGAGGAAGGTGCTGGCAGGGTAAGTTATATTCTGAGACCTCTTCATCTGGCTGGTAAACAGCTATTTTTTTTTTTTTTTTTGGCAGTACTGGGAATCAAACTCAGCTTGCTGGGCAGGCCTGGCACCACTGAGCTAAATCCCTGACCCTAGCTATATTCTTTTTTTTTTTTTTTTCTTGGTACCAGGGATTGAACTCAGGTCCTTGTACTTACAAGGCAGGTGGTGGAACTACTGAGCTAAATCCCTGCCCCCACTTTCTTGGCCTTCCCTTTATGTGAAAGGCCAAGGTGAAAGTGCACTTGAGAGATTTCTGGTGTCATCTTACAAGGACACATCCTCTGGAGTAGGGCCCACCTTCATGACCTCATTCAATATTAGTTACCTCTTTATAGGCACCTGGTGGTCAGGGCTTCTGCATATGAATTTTGGAGGTACACAGTTAAATATATGGCATACACTACACTTTTACTGTCTACAAAACTTAATTGGAGTGGATCATAGACATGTAAAACCTGAAATCTGAAACTTCTAGAATAAAACAGAAGAAAAATGTTGGCTTGGGTTAGGTGAAGATTCTTAAGATAAATAACGCGTGAACCATAAAAAATTGATGAGCTGAACTTTATTAAAATTAAAACTTTTGGTGGGCATGGTGGCACAAGCCTGTAATTTCAGCTGTCTGAGAGGCTGAAGCAAGAGGATTGCAAGTTTGAGACCAATCTGGGGAATTTATCCTCTTTCTAAAAAAATAAAAGGCTAAGGGTGTAACTCAGTGGTAGAGAGCATGCACAGGTCCTTGGGTTTGATCCCCAGCACACACACACACACACACACACACACACTCAATGAAAATGTCAAAAGATTTGAATGCACATCACCAAAGAAAAGCAGGTAAAGAAAATAGAAAAGCAGATGAAAACAGATAAAGAAGATATAAAAGAAAATATGTAAAGATATTTATTATTAGTCATAGAGAAAGCTCCAATAAAATTAATGCTACGTGCCATTATAATGGCTAAAATACTTCTTTCCCCCCTGAAGTTTATTGGTACATTTAAAGCAAACAGTACAGTTACATTTATCATTGGGATCTTATACCTTTACGTGGGATGTCTTGGTTCTTATTTTTTCCCCAAAACCCTGCCCTCCCTTCATACCCTTCACCTGTCTCTCCCTATTTACAAAGACTTTGTTTCCATTTTTTACATTTTTTTCTTTTCTCTCATTTCCTTTCCCCTCCCCTTTCCGCTTCCCCTTCAGCCATTTTCTTCCTATTTCACTCTATTGATTAGGGTTGGAGATTTAGCTCAATTGTGCTGTTGCTTGCCTTGCAAGCTGAAGGTCCTAAGTTTGATCCTCAGTACAAAAAAAAAAAAAAATCATGGGCTGAGGATGGCTCAGTGGG